TCTTATGTATTAGTGGTTTTATTGTCTTGCTTTCGGGTCAAATCATTAAAAAATATTGAGACCATTTTGCTTAAAAAATTTGCTTAAAAATATTGAGACTATTTTGCTTAAAAAATTTGCTTAAAAATATTGAGACTATTTTGCTTAAAAATTTGCTTAAAAGTATTGCGACTATTTTGCTTAAAGTCCATATTTTTCTGATTTCCGATGAAAATTCGGAAGTTTTCCATTCCATTTCACTGAAATGTCTGCTTTAGAAAGATATCATTTCTACTTATATTTTCCTTATATGGAAAAATGTTTAAAATTTTAGGCATTTGCCAAAAAGATATTGTTTAGATTGACAGTTTATTTTTTCAATATGTTGTGATCATTTTGTTTAAGTTTGTATTCTCTCGATTTCAACATATTACAGTGAAGTGTTCATTTTCCAATGTTATATTAATAGTATATTAATCTTGAATATATGGAAAAATAAAGACTTCATATTTAATTAACGCCAGGTCAGGAATCGGGGTTAAACTGAATTCTTTTTGTCTGCAGATCGGAACAATTCTGCTTAAAGTTAGTATTTTCTTGATGTCTTCAGAATTGTAATCTTTAAACCTTATATGGAATCAGAAAGTCATAATTTGTCGCTTGGATGATCTGGATTGATATATACTTTTTACATGCAATCTGACCTGTTATGATTTTGTTAAAATGGAACACACCTATTCTATAGTTAATAGACTCTCCCACCTATAATAAGTAGGAGTAATAGCAGCAGTCGCACAGCGAGTTGCTCGGTGAGTTGGTGTGTCAGTGGATGTCGGACGACCGTTAGTCGTATATTAAAGTATCAGCCACCCCAACTAGATTACTGCGTCATTACCTATTATATCAAGTTCCTAACGTTTTGTACGTCGAACCTATTTTAGAATCGACTTAATACCAGCCTCCACTGTGAAACCACTACATAACAGATTTATACCAAGTACTCCTATCCAGGAATAGTAATTCTAATTTATATGTCAGAATATAATGAAGGTGTTAGCGGCTATTCCCTGATCAGATTAATTAGACAACAGCAATGCAAACAAGCAGGAATGGTCACACAACAGGAGTCAATCTACAAAGAGTAAATCAATTGATTAAAAAGAAAGAAAAGACCATTTCTCAGAGGCTGGAATCTGTTCGGTCTATACAAAGAAGAGATGTTAGCGTTCGAGAACTGTTGGACATATCAATGATTCTTCTCCAAGAGTGTAACAAATGACTTTAGCTATTTCTGTCTTTGAAAAGGCATCTCGCTCAGTTGAACACTTGACAACGTTGATTCATCAAGAGAGAAAGAGAATTCAAAAAGATTTAAAAGGATTTCAATCATTCGAGTGCACAAAGACACAAATAGGCTAAAAGCTGGAAAACAATTTTTGAAAATATCTGCTGGAAAATGAAGTGGAAAGGAATAGAATTAGGCATAAGATAGAAAATATATTTTCTTCAAATCATCCTCTAGGTTTGCTGACGACGTTATTCGAATATACATGACTGACCAATGAAAATCAAACAAGACAAAAATAAACATACCAGAATTTCTTTCTTCCTTCTTTTTCTCAATATCGCATTCTCTGATAAATCTTTAATAAAAGTGAAGCATGTTAGATTGTTGGATTCTGATTCATATCCCAACTCTCTCTCTCTCTCACACACACACACACACACACACACACACACACACACACACACACACACACACACACACACACACACACACACACACACACACTCACACACACACACACACACACGCACGCACACGCACACACACACACACACACACACACACACACACACACACACGCACACACACACACGCACACACACACACACACGCACACACACACACACGCACGCACACACACACACACGCACACACACACACACACACACACACACACACACACACACACACACACGCACACACACACACACACACACACACACACACACACACACACACACACACACACACGCACACACACACACACACACGCACGCACACACACACACACACACACACACACGCACACACACACACACACACACACACACACACACACACACACACGCACGCACACACTATTCCTGGGTATGATAATAAACTATATCCAGCAACAAGGCCTCTGATCTGGAGATCGGATGTTTTGCGGAGTGTGGAACCAACTCTTGATTGCTGCTTAATTCCTAAGTCTACCCTGATGTCCCAGCTATGAGTAAATATTGGAAAGCAAATGCATTTTATAGTAAAAATACCAGCAATACCTATTTATAGTAAAATGACCAACGATACATTTTTAAAGAAAAATGACCATATAGTATAATTAATAAGATATTTTATAGTAATGTTGGGTTTGTAAAATTAGTCTGATCCTATATACAGATTGATCATGCCTGTTCCTGTTAACCTCTGAAATTAAGGGCTTCTTTCTTGCAACTCTTCTTTGATAGCCTAGCTCTTTCAGAGACTTTCTCATCGCATATGGCGACATTTCAATGCTGTTGGCGACATCTTTGACGCTCTGACGACGGTTTCTGATGACTTCCCTATTCAGCACCCTTTTTATTCGCTCAGATACGATGCTTGGTCATCCTGAACGTTGTTCCACACAACAATGGCCTTCTTCATTAAATTTCTTGACAATATTATTAACCATTTGATGATTAACCTGGCAAAACCTATCAATTTCTCTGATTTGCCACACTGATGCCATCCTATTATATACCCTCGTTGAAATTCACCAGTTTCCCTACTTTAGAGAACTTTCATTGCAAAGTATAAGTCAAACTATCGTTCATAGATGAGAGTCGCTTGATACTAACACGATATTATCTAAAAAAAAAGAAGAGACGTTATTACACAAGTCAAAATTGTTGTAATAAGGGTAGCTAAAATTTTCCCACTGTAATACAGGTCGAAAGATGTTTTTAAAATGTGTTATTATTAACAGTTACAAAATTTTAGAACGTTTAGTGTCGCAACGATAGAGTTTATTTTGAAAATCTTAAGTGAGAATTTTTTTTAATAGAGTAACAGGACAATTCCATGACGTTTTTTGTTGCAAGAGTTTTATCAGTCAAAGGGGCATGGACAAAATAGTACAGAAACTAGAGCAACGAGCCAGTAGTATAGCCCAGAATGGTGCACTCCAGATTGGTCTTTTTAAAACTATTAAAGGGGCAGTATTACAGAAGTGTAGTCATACAAAGAATAAAACAGTAAAGTTAATGTAATTAACAATAACATGAATTTTACTGATTTATTCTTTGTATGGCTACTTTGTAATATTAAGTATACCGTTTAATTGTTTATTATATCATTTAAATATATATATATATATATATATATATATATATATATATATATATATATATGAAGAAATATAGTATTAAGATGTGCTATATTTATGGGATAAAGTGATCAATATCAGAGATAGCGCGTGTGTAAATATAAAAAGTGAACATAGAAGTTAATGCGAGAGGCGACAGTCTGTTTCATGCGGATGCAATCGTCAGGCCTGAAACAGACTGTCGCATCTGTTGACTTCTATATTCACTTTTATATACACTGCGTGCCAAATTATTATCGAGACAACTTTTTTCTAATATTTCAAAAACCGTGCAATCAATTCCCACAAAATTTTCACACAATGTAGGCAACACTGACTTGCGCAATGACTAAAATCTTCGTAATGATCTGCGCAATGTAAGCAAACTGGCGCCATATTTGTTATCAGCACGGTGATTTTGGCGTGCCAAATTATTAGAAAGGTTTAGTAAAATTTGATAAAAATAATTAAGTAATTCATCGAGTCTCAAAGAAACCTCAACAGAATGCAGAAAGCACTGGAGGGCAGTTTCGTCTTATATATATATATATATATATATATATATATATATATATATATATATATATATATATATATATATATATAATTATTATTATAAAATTATAACATAAGTATGTTATAAAATCACTACAAAAATAGCCATTTTGTTTCAACACACTCTGTGTCTTATCAAGTGATGATGTTGAAAATAAAACCTTTTATTTTATTTTATTTTCAGCATCATCACTTGATAAGACACAGAGTGTGTTGAAACAAAAAATGGCTATTTTGTAGTGATTTTATAACATACTTATGTTATAATTTTTATAAATAATAATTATATTCTACTTTTGAGCACTCTTTTAAGAATAGTAATTGTTGGTTATTGGAATTCATTCCGTATATACCAATATATATATATATATATATATATATATATATATATATATATAAATAAAGAAATATATTTTTAAAGTGTGCTATATTTATGGGATAAAGTACTCACTATCAGAGATAGAGCGTATGTAAATATAAATATAAAAGTGAACATTGAAGCCAACTGCCAGAGTCGAAAGACTGTTTCATGCTAGACAATTCTTTTCGCGACGAGAAGAAGCCTACGGAAGTGATGGCATGGTTTAGGTTCAAGAGGACCATGGTCATGGACATTTGGGGGAATTGGAAGGCGTGTGAAAACAAGGACGAGTTTACTGCCAAACAAAAGGCCCACAACGTTCGTTCTTCAGCCGTTAGGACCGACAAGTTCGCCGCCGCCGCCGTCAAGGAGACAGTCGACAATGATGGAAGCCAGAGCTACGCCAAGATCGCCTCTGACATGGGCTGTCACATTTCGACGATTTGAGGAACGATCCAGGAGGACATTGGTTACTCCTCCTACAGCAAGTTTCACCGCATGCTCATCCCGAATGCCTCCAATGAGATGAGGAATGTCAAGGCGGCGGCTTTTCTGAATGAGCTCAAGCAAGGGTCCGCCTAGATGCTGAGTTTATTCAACAGGCATAACGACAGGTGGGTCTGCAATGACATCGAAAAGGTTCCCGTTGTGAAGCATACGAAGTTTCCCTCTTCCGTTATGGTACTTGGCGTCATCTTTAGTGAGGGAACGTCATGTCTCCGTTCTTCTTTCAAAGGTGGCTACGAATCCCCACTGAGATCTACCAGGAAATTTTTGATGAGTATGGTGAAGCCCTGGATGGACGAGATCGCCGCCGGATGCCCCTACGTCTTTCAGCAGGACTCCTGCACACAAGACCAAGACGACCCAGCAGTGGCTGCTCAACAATGTTCCTCACCACTGGTCGCCGGACTTGTGGCCGCTTTCCTCACCCGACTGCGATCCCCTTGACTATTTCTTCTGGGGGCGTGATCGCGGCCAAGACAAACAAGAACGCCCACAACACGGTCGACTCTCTGAAGGCTGCCATCGTGGAGGCGTTCGCCGCTATGGACAAGGACATTCTCATTTTAGTCTATACAATAAGTTTTTGCACAGAATCTAAAATTTTTTTTTAAAACATACATATATATATATATATATATATATATATATATATATATATATATATATACAGTGCTGTTCGATAAAAGTGACTCACCTGATTTTCCTTTCTGCTGAAAAGGTGCAAATCCTACCCCACCAAGCTCATTTTTATGCAGGATAATGCTCCCTCTCACAAATCAAAATTGATGAAGGAATACTTTGATGAGAAGCAGGTGAGTGTTATGACATAGCCGCCTCAATCTCTCCTGACCTCAGCCCCATAAAAACTGGGGGAGGCATATTGCTCAACTGCTTTCTCGGGAGCCTGTACTTTATAATGCTCCATAAGCAGAAAGAAGCAGACAAGACTCTAAAATTCTCTTGTACTGCTCGCTCCTGAGTGTCTTTTCAATAGGTATTAAGAAACCAGTTGCATGAAAAGTAAAACAACCCCAGAACATTATACTGAACGGATGCTTGACAGTACTTCCTGCTAAATTCAAAGAGCTTTCAAAGCTTCTTCTTCGGATTTTAGATCGCTTATCCTTTGAATTTACCTCAACTTTCGTTTCATCAGAGAAGAGAACATTTAGTAAAAAAAATCAGGTGAGTCAATTTATCGAACAGTACTATATATATATATATATATATAGAGAGAGAGAGATGCCCTATAATGTAAGAAATACAGTCCTGTGTTTTAAATAACAGTGCGATTTAATATATTAAAAAAAATACCTTATTGTTTGCACAACTCGGTGTTTCATGCCTTTCGAAATTTCCGGTGCAAGTTTGGGGTGACACCGTTTGTTTAATACGTCTTTAACACCCCCCCCCATATATATATATATATATATATATATATATATATATATATATATATGGTGTTTCTCTTATCACTATAATCAGGTAACAGTTATCTTTCCTTTCTATCCGTATAAGCTGCCTCTTAATGTAACCCTCTATCGCAAGTGGCCCCCAAGCCTTGTACAGGATGAATCTTACTGTAAAATGGAGCACAGGACCATATGTCGCAGTTATATTTACAGCAAGGACGAACAGTAGACTTATAAAATTGTAAGATAAGTTCTAGCGAAAAAAATCGTCTAGCAAGAGACAGTGAACCAAATTTCATCACTGCAGACGTAGCTATTAATTGAATATAATGCTGCGACTTCATGACGACGGTAGACGTTAGTCCGAAAAAGTTCAATGCGTCATTCCACTGAATTTTTAATCTGAATATATTTTCTTATAAATGTAATATTTTAAATGGGCAAACAATTTAGATTAGATCATTTTGCCGACGCCAAAGCAATGAGTATTTAACTAGTTTTCATCAACTGAGTACATAGTATAAGTTTCAGCCGGTATTTTTTCTGCAAGTATTACTCGGTGAAGACAGCATTTATTTGCCTTGGAAATAAAGTAAGTGCCTTCATGTGTGTAACCACACCCGTGTAATATCCCATCATCGTGTGAGCATAATGAAATCCTACTCCTAGAAACAATTTAATATCCCATGTTTGTTAATGCAATTCACACGAAGAGCCTTAAGCACTTCAGATATATTTGTTTTTGTTCAGCGTGAAACTGAGAAAAGACACCACTTCTTTGAAATCAGTTTCATGTGTGACTTGCGCATAAACCACCCATATTACCGACGTCTGTATATTCGTTAGTTTACAAAGAAAAATATCTTGCTACTGTAATGTCTTCTACAGGGTGTCCATAAAGTTCGTGTGCACTTAAAAAATTATAACTTTATTTGTATTTGCTATAGAAATAAATTGTAAAAAGGATTAGAAAGAAGTAAATCTATATTTTAAAGGTTTTATTGAAATTTTATTTAAGTTTCCACATGTCCTCCATCATTAGCAATACAAAGAGTAGTACGATTTTGCAGTTCACGGAAAACACGTTTGCCATCTGATTTACAGTAATGCCTGAAATCACATGAATTATTTTAGCTATACTTAAAACTAGGGGCATTTTTTTACATTTTTTTATCGTAAATACAAATAAAGTTATAATTTTTTTTAAAGTGAACACGAACTTTATGGACACCCTGTATGTGTTGATATTTAATATGGTGAGCTAAATTATGAATTCGTCTATACATACCATCATTTGAAACTGGCACTTGAGTTATCTTTGCAGTCCTTACAACCAGCAATTACGTATAGGCATCAAGAACATAGACTTTTACTAGCGTGTCGGTGATTGTGTATGAATTTTACTTATAGCTACACACTACGCTGATTTATTAGAAGCACATCATGTATAAGTACCTACCGGGTGTAACAGGGAAATTGTCCAAATTGTGTAACAGCATAATTGTCCATTCTACAAATTGAGTTTATTTTCCGATATGACGTTTAGCCATCTAGACAACATTTGTCGTAAGGATCACTGAAAACCCCTTTGAGCTATTCAGATAGAAAGCGAACAAGTTAAAATCGTTTTGTGACAGTACCACACCTTCCCAACTGAGCAATGGTGAGAGGAAAAAGATCATTCAGGTCTTCAGTAATGCTACCAACATACATAGTCTCGATTCCATCTTCAAAGTCCATTCGAGAACCATGAGGAGAAAGGCGAATAATTTTAAAAAAGAGGGAACAGCAGAGAGGATAATTGGATAGGAGGTCGCAACAGGAAGAGGGATTATAGTTTCAACTTATAGCTAAAGAGATCAATTAGAAAAGATCCAACTCAATTCATAAGTTGTTTGGCACGTGAGAAAGTGAATTTCATCTACGACAGCTCAAGTAGCAGTAAAAAAAGTCTTGAAAATGAAATCGTACATGAAACGTGTAAAGCACCTTGTTAATCCAGGACAGAAAGTTAGAAGGTTAGAGAGGGCGAAGATAATCTTTAATAAGCTGAAAATGATCTTGGAATCATATATATATATATATATATATATATATATATATATATATATATATATATATAAATATAAACTTTATTTCAATCCTTCATGAACTTCCGATCTTTAGATTAATGATGAACATGTCATTTTCGTTTATCATCAATTTCATCACGATTCTTCTGTTAAGCTTGAAGAGTAATTATCCATTCCTATTGCTCAAAGTAGAGTCCAATAGTGTTATAAAAACCTCGATGAATTCCAGTAAGATATCTTTAATCATTTCTAAGATACAACGGTTCAGAGCTTAATCTAACAACTGAATAATTTTGCTGTTACCCGACTGAGACAATTTTGCTGTTCCACTCGGTATATGGGAAAATTAAAATATTTGTTTCCGACGACCCTTTCATTAGGCATCCTTTCTTCCAAAGAATTATACTGGATTTTAACTTATTTCTTTTTTTCTGCTTAAAAATATTTCTTACGATTTAAGTGCTATATTGACTCTAGAGTCAATACATGTCCATAAATTTAAATAACTTTCAAAATTCCATATCTTAATTGATTCGAGAGCCAATGCATCTCCATAAATTTAAAAAACTCTTAAAATTTTACTGCTACAGTCAATAGCTTCATTAATTCGAGAGGCAATACATTTTCATTAATTTAAACTTAAAATTTCGCCGCTTCATTTAGTCTATCTCCAGCACATCCTCATAAATAACACATTGAAGTGTTACTCATTATTTATAGATTACAAAGCCAAATCGAATTGATGGAGCGTTATATATCGTTGTAAATCCAACCGAAATTCTTTTTCTCAGCATTGATTAACCTTATGCATGATTCCCACGTGCCATCCTGTTTGGAGAGATAGGTAGCGGTAAGGCAATATGAAGAGGCCCAAAACGCCAACGTCGATAGAAAACCGCCGACTGAGTGCCGGGACAACTCAGGAGTGAGACAACTCAGGACCGAGAGAACTCAGAACCGGAAAAACATAACTTTTTTTTTTTTAAATAAACGAATAAAAGTAATTTATTAAGAATTAAAACCTTAATTAGTGAATATTTGTTCTTCAAAGAAGACAATTAAAAAGGCATTATATAAAATATGAACCAGTTTTTTTTTGTTTTTAATTACTTTTAATAAAGTAAATCGTAAATAAATATATATTTTTATAAAGTAAATTGACATATAAAAATAAGAATTTCGATTTACGTTATCATAAATTAAATTACATTACAATTTATTTTATTAAAAAATAATTAAAAATAAATGTGTGTTATTGAATTATTTTTCTTGTACACATATTGAGAAAGGAGGGATTGGAAAACTTACCCCCCCCCATAGCATATCGAGGGCAGGGGAAGGCAGCGAGCCACGTAGAAGTTTGCATGGATGGATGGATGGCGGAACCGTAGGCGTGAGTCTTGGCAAAAGGATAAACGCTGCTAAGGACCACAAGAAATAGGAAGTTGTGGATAGGCATGATCGTTCAGATCGTGAACGAATACGGCACATAGAACAAGAAGACTACTTAAAATATCCTTCAGTGTTCCAATGATAACTACTTGAAATTTAGTGACCCTGCTTCGCTATTGTAATGACTATGAGAAAGATACAAAAAAAACATTATAGTACTACTAGTAATTATACCCGTTGTTGCCGAGGTTGTTGCAGTTTTTGGGTATTATGTAACTAGAGAGCTAGCCCAAATGACTTGACTCACTTTATAGTCCACCAACAGAAGGTTAACCAATCAGAAGACGTAGAATATTCAATCCGTCGTGTATAAAGGCGGCCATTTTGTTTACTCTATCCGAATGTCCAGTGCCAGATTGTCAGGCGAAGAGGAACAGAAGGAAGAACTACGCTCTGCTACTTTTACCGGGATATCCACTGCTAACCTGAACTACGCTTCCCTACTGTCTTCGAAATATTCATTGCTAACCTCTGGATTCTATACTCAAAGACGACCTTCATCTTGAACAACAGAGGTAAGATGTCATTTTCTTTGTTTTGCTGCTGCAGGAAGTCTTTTCTTTGAGATTTCTTTGTAGATGCCGAAAATTGGTATTAGCAAAATTGTAAGAATTTACCATGTTCAACAGGTTTAAAACTCTTG